TGGACAGTGTCCCGCTGGATCCCGTTGGCCGGGCCGCCGCTCGCGCGGCCTTCTCATTGGCCTTTTTCGCCATGCTTCGGCCGAGCGAAGTGTCTCTCGGGTCAGATGGGCGCCATACCATTCGCGTAGGCAATGTTCACATCAGGGCCGGTCGGATGGAAGTAGTGATACCCTCTTCCAAAACATCGGTGGACCCTTCACATATATGGCTGGTCGCCCGACCGGACGTCTCAATCTGTCCAGTAGCGGCTATGGCCAATTTTCTGGCCGTGCGAGGCAACAGCCCCGCCGGGGAGGTGCTATTCATCGATGGGCAGAGACGGCCTTTCACGTCCCGCATGCTCACTCGTATAATCAAGCAGGCGGGACGGATCGCCAGGCTTGACCCGGCTCGCCTCTCCGGTCACTGTTTCCGGATCGGCGGTGCAACGCACGGAGCGGCACTGGGGATGTCGGAGATGCAGCTGGCTCAAGCCGGCCGCTGGACGTCAGTGACGGCTATGCGCCGTTACGTCCGGCGCTCGGTATCACTCACTGCTCAGTACCACTCCGGCGGATCGCACGGTTTAGACACCGGCAGTCGGCCCGCGCGGGCGGAGCCTCAGTCTGTGCTGGGTTCTCTGCCGTTTCGTATCGATAGGGGCCCTTGTTGGACTTTAAGCGGTCCGGACGGTGAGCCAGGGTGGCAAGGAAGCTAAAGGGCGTCGTTAGGGCGAGCGGTGCCTCCAATTCTCCGCAAGGGGTCCCTCGCGGTCTGGCCCTGTGCCAGTGAGCCCGAGGGGCTTCCGAGGGGCTATCAGGGTCGGCCGCAGTGCCGTTAGTTATTAAGTTACGCGCACAGAGTCCCCTCGCGGTCTGGCCGCAAGTGCCAGTGAGCCCGAAGGGCTATCAGGGTCGGCCGCAGTGCCGTTAGTTATTAAGTTTAGCGCGCAGAGTCCCCTCGCGGTCTGGCCGCAAATGCCAGTGAGCCCGAGGGGCTATCAGGGTCGGCCGCAGTGCCGTAGTTATTAAGTTAAGCGCACAGACTCCCTCGCGGTCTGGCCACAAGTGCCAGTGAGCCCGAGGTGGTCCTATGCTTGCCAAAAAGGGCAATACACGAGTAGCCGCGAGGAGATCCCAGCGGTTTGGCCTGTGGCCAGCGTTATTGTGGTGCTCATGTTGGATAGGGTTCAAGTTGGTTTTGTTCAGATTTTTTTTTTTGCCACCTGCGGTTAGGTTGGTCAGTCGATTGGTTTTGTCCCCGGTTCCCGGTCCGTCGAGAATTCGCTGCGTATTGCTGGCTGTATACGTGCCTTACTGCAATACATATATCTCAGGTTCATTTCAATTTTTCCTTCGCGGATTCGGGTGGGGGTTATGGGCATTTTGGACCCTCACCCAAAGACCAATGCAATATGACAATACAGTCCCGAAACCACTAACATCGGTCTTTGCTAGCGCGAAGGTTATATAGAAATGTAATTTTGCGTTCCGAACGCAAAATGTTTTTCTATGTATCCGGCGCGGCAGCGAAGTTACCAAATGCGGCAGCGTTTTAGCGGGAAGCCGCCGCCAGGGGTCGGGCGGGACCTATGAGCGCTCGGCGGCGGCCGCCGCGGGGAGCGGTCAAGGCCCTAAAGGAGCGGTCACTTTTTCCTCAAACCTCGTTGGGTTCGGATATCAACACCGCCCACCACCCCGCCTTCGCCTCAGTGTCACACTATTAATGCAACGAATGCTAGTAATGCGTTGTTATCATTGTTTGTTCTACCTACACCTTTATACTGTCGGTTCATGCGTTGCTGCACGACTGTTATGTACAGTGTACACCTACATGTTATGCGATGTATATGTGTATCGGACTGTATGTTCAAGTGTGGGCATTTTGGACCCTCACCCAAAGACCAATGCAATATGACAATACAGTCCCGAAACCACTAACATCGGTCTTTGCTAGCGCGAAGGTTATATAGAAAGACTTTATCTGAAGGCGATAGGCAGTCACTGAGCATTCCAGCAGGAGTCAGTCCGTAGAATGCTCCACGAGCCCGACTAACACGGTGCTGTACATGAAGTGACCCGGCTAGATCCGCTGACAATGTGACACCTAAATGTTCGGTCACTGCTCGTACAGCAAGCTGCTGACCAGATAGGTGCCAGACGGGGAGCGCAGACAAAAGTTCAGCACCAAATACAATACAATGACTTTTGGTTTTTATCGGATCTACATGAACGAATTCAAGCCTCCAAAACCCTGCGAATTGATCAACTATTTCCAAAAGTTTACTTAGGTTTCCCGCATTGGTAGAGAGCAGCATCAAATCATCTGCGTAGCACACGGCAGGAACATGGTAGCCAAACATGAAGGATCCGCACAAGCTAACATCAAGTAGACTTAAGAGAGGCTGAAAGAAAACATTTGCAAACGCTGGCGATAAAATGGCCCCCTGTCTCGTTCCTCGCTTGATGTCAAAACAACTCGACATATGGTCAGCATAAGTTACGAAAGCCTTTAGACGTCTATACCACACTGTGACCAAATGCCAGGACCGGGGGCTCAGGAACTTCTCTAGGCGAAAAAGTAGACCATCATGCCAAATTTTATCGAAATATTTCCTCGCATCTAAATTGGCTGCAAACACTGGAGAACCTCTCTGACTGTGCCACTGCGCGGTTTCAGTAACAAGCATCGTTGCCTCGATAGTACTACGGTTCTCTAAAAACCCAAATTGTAGATCACTGGGAGAGAAAGATTCGGTCAGCTCACTTAGTAAAAGACACTCTAGTAACTTCGACATAGTAGTAGTGAGAGATATCGGCCTGTAATTGTCCAAGCAATCTCGATTCAAACCTGACTTCTTTAGGATGGGTCTCACAACACTAACAGAAAAGGCGTCAGGGACCGATAAAGTGGCGTAACATGCAGTGAGGAGACGGCCAATCGCAACCAACAAAGCTTGTGATCTACCATACAATAGATGCTCCACTGTTACGTGGTCTATCCCCGGAGCAGCACCTCGCTTTAACTGCTGGATCAGGTCACATACCTCATCTGGGGTAACAATACGGATCTCGGCAGAGTCACAACCAGCGGAGAAGCGAGTGGCAACAGCGTCACATATCAGCTGTTGACCAGGGCTCAACTGTGAATCGTCATCCTGGCTGATCGATCCAAAGTGGTCGGCGAAGTCGTCCACAGTAAGATTACTGCATCCATGCTGCCCACCTCTTCTCGCAGCGTTAACACGACGCCAGAATGCACTAACATTACGATCACGCCGAAGACTGTGAAGAAGGCGCGCTTCCTCATCTATCCTGCCCCGTGAAGCAGTTTTACGGGCGCAGCGGTATGCACGGCGAGCCTCACAATAACACGCGTAAACAACGCTGTTCACAGGGCGGCCACAATCTGTCCATAATCTAAACCAGAAGCGAGCCTTATCACGAGCGCTGGAGACCCTTGGAGTCCACCAGCTTTTAGGAGAACGCCTTAGTTTAGCACAGCCCGACGCCCGGGCCGCAGCATGGATAGCATTAGTGATGTGCATATCCAACTCGTTCACATCGGTGAGCTCCGGTGTCATCTGCACGTTACTAGCAAGGTATGCCGACAAGTGCGTCTCAAGTGCAGACTTATACATTTCATTGCGGCTATTGCAATCCCAATTTAGAACATCAGGACATCCATTTTTAACTGGGATACTTTTGCTTGATGGTGATGAGGGTTTCTCACCACGTAGGGCAAGTCGCATATAGCAGCTAAGAGGCAGATGAGGGCTTAGGTTCTCCTCTGAAGGCGGCACAATGTCGCATGATATCACTGACCGAAGAACATTTTTTGGCACAATGATATGGTCAATGTGAGTACGAGAGCTACCACGCTGGTATGAGAAGGAGACAGATTGTGTAAATTGAAATTCAGCTACGGAGAAATCATGCTTATCAAGAAGCTCTTGCAGAATGCTGCTAAACAACGAGAACCCACGGAACTCATACCAGCGGGTCGGACGCGCATTAGCAGCCAGTCTCGGCAAGGCACAGTTAAAATCACCCACAAGAGCAACAGGAGAACAGGAGCCAAGTGCAGTGATAAGAGCATCAAGCTTACTGACAAGATGAGAAAATTCATCTAGATTCTTCCGGAAAGAATCCCAATAGGGCATGTAACAGCCGAATACTGTCAACCTCGGTCCTAGCGTATCACTGATTTTAACACCACAGAGGCGCTCATCTCCACAGTCTATCTCGTCATAGCGTACCCCAGGGCGATTGCGGCAAATCATAGCAACGCCGCCATGACGGCGTCCGGCGCCCGCACCAGGAGGAAGATCCATGGCGAACTTTTCCATCACTATACAAGCATATGAGCAGCAGGTATTGACATAACCAGGAAGATAGCACTCCTCGGAGCGGGACATCCACGTTTCTGCAAGAAATACTACGTCATGTGCTTCAATGAGCTTACAAACATAGGGCAGGGCAGTCATCAGACACTCGCAGTTGTAGGTGGAAATTGATACCGTATCATTAACTGCCAAAGGACGCATATTGCCGGTAGTATTATCTACTCCACTAACATTGCTACCGCCTGGAATCGTGCTACCGTGCGCCAACTTACTAGAAGTGGAGTGTGTTCCGGTTAAACATGAGACTCGTCTCGTCTCCCGTCTCCCGATGTTTCAGTCTCCCGATGTATTAAGTGTTGCTCTTATCCATTGCAAAAATTTCAAAGCAACCTGTCACTAAATGTAGCTATCGCAGGCATTGAAACATTTTATGAGGTGAGATCACTTGACATGACATGGTGACCTGACATTGAGTGACCTTGGTCTGCGATTTTCACATGGGCAAAAAAAAGATGCATGATGAGGCGAGCCAAAATAGCAGGGGGTGTTACCCCCTTTCCAGCAGGGTGCGGGTAGACTATAGTTGCAGTACACACAGCATCCTACAGTACAGTTGTCTTCATTGACAGTTGAAAGTTTTGTATCCAATATTGGACCAAATAGGAAGCCACTTACCTTCAGCCTTGACTATGATCTCCCGGCTATCACCGATCTGGGATGGCAGCTCAGGCTTGATGTTAACAGCATCCCTACAACTGTGAAACACAACATATCACTTGAAGCAGAGATCAAGCTGGAACTGTGGAGCATCATGTTATCATCAGTAGTTACTAATATGTACTAATTAGTTAATAGTCCAGCTAATATTTTGACTGTGTAGTTAAGAGCGCCCAGCTATGCCTTATGTCAAACTCTAATGACAAGAATCAGCAGTATTTGTAAAGATAGGGTCCCAACTACAATTGTGGTGCTGTTGATACAAATATGCAACACCAGAAATTTTAGGTTGTAGGTTGTATTAGGTTGCAGGTTTGTAGGTTTTCTATTTTGTAGGTTGGTAGGATGTCCATCAAGACAGCCCATATTCAGCCCAGATTCAGCCCGGATTCAGCTCATATTTGGGACACCTCTGATCAAGCTGAAACTTGCACACAATAGAGGCTTTGACATGTACGATCCACAGCCCGAGCCGTTCGGTGTCACACCCAGCCGTTTGACCTACAGAGGTCAGCAAAGGTCACGTGGCCCAAATTTGCACAGCAGATTGTGGCCCACCCAGTAGAGCTAGAGCGCTAAAAATGCCACCAATAGACTCGCCAGCATCTAATCTTACTTTCCCAATACCCATTTGACCTCTCGAGGTCATGCGATGACCTAAGGACATTTGTGGGCTATGTCGAAAATACACTTGCACAGCAGTTCTCGAGTAGAAGGATTGACCGAACTCCAAATCAAAGCACATCATCGGGTAGTCCATAGGTCGTAGTAACTTTCCTTAAAAACCGCTTCTCGATATGTGACCCCGTTTGACCTCGGCAGGGCAAAATGTACAAATAAACGACACTCCATGCGTCTCAGCCCGGATTCAGCCCAGATTCGGGACACCTCAGATCAAGCTGAAACTTGCACACAATAGAGGCTTTGACATGTACAATCCACAGCCCGAGCCGTTCGGTGTCACACTCAGCCGTTTGACCTACAGAGGTCATCAAAGGTCACGTGGCCCAAATCTGCACAGCAGATTGTGGCCCACCCAGTAGAGGTAGAGCGCTAAAAATGGCATCAATCGACTCGCCAGCATCTAATCTTACTTTCCCAATACCCATTTGACCTCTCAAGGTCATGCGATGACCTAAGGTCATTTGTGGGTATGTTGAAAATACACTTGCACAGCAGTTCTAGAGTAGACGGATTGACCGAATTCCAAATCAAAGCACATCATCGGGTAGCCCATAGGCCGTAATAACTTTCCTTAACAACCGCTTCTCGATATGTGACCCTGTTTGACCTCGGCAGGGCAAAATGTACAAATAAACGACACTCCATACGTCTCAGCCCGGATTCAGCCCAGATTCGGGACACCTCAGATCAAGCTGAAACTTGCACACAATAGAGGCTTTGACATGTATAATCCACAGCCCAAGCCGTTCGGTGTCACACCCTGCCGTTTGACCTACAGAGGTCAGCAAAGGTCACGTGGCCCAAATCTGCACAGCCGATTGTGGCCCACCCAGTAGAGCTAGATCGCTAAAAATGCCGCAAATCGACTCGCCAGCATCTAATCTTACTTTTCCAGTACCCATTTGACCTCTCAAGGTCATGCAATGACCTGAGGTCAATTGTGGCTATGTTGAAAATACACTTGCACAGCAGTTCTCGAGTAGAAGGATTGAAAGAATTCCAAATCAAAGCACATCATCGGGTAGCCCAGTGGCGTATCCAGGATCTTGAAAAGGGGGAGGCCAAACCTGCTCAAGGGGCCCCACCCTTACCTTAGGGGCCTCAGTAGTAGCGTACTTAACCCACGCCCAGGTGCGGTTCTTTGCCACTTTCGTCATGTGAGGGAGCCTTTTTACGCACACAGGCAATCTAAAAAAGAATGTTAAAACGTAAAAACATCGATATTGATAGCTCTATAGAGACCAATTTATTTCAGCAGTAGGCATACAGTTTTTTTTTTTTTGCTTTAGCTTTCGCTATAGGGTCACCAGAGATTATCAAAAGCAAATTGTTTTTGTCATTTTTTTTAAAGATTGTAACACTTTTCAAAGGGCAGATGTCAATCTTTTAGTGTCTTGTGCTGGTTGAACTTGGGTTGAGCTCTGATCTAGACTCTGATGGCTCTATGTCCCCCACATTGGCCTCACTCCGACCTCTGAAGGCTCATTCTGGCCTCTGAAAGCCCCACACTGGCAACAGAGTGAACCACGCTGGCCTCCGGGCCCCATAATGGCCTCAGGAGACCCATGCTATGGCTGACCTCACAGGGCCTCCGCTGGCTTTTGGGAGCCTTTGAGTCAGTCTCTGATGTCCCTATGCCGCTCTCGAACCCACGCTGGTCTCTAGAAGCCCATGATGCCTCCTGAGGGTCCCACGCGTTTTGAGTACCGCGCCGCGGCGCTGTTAAATAGCCTCCCACCCCAGGTAGTGCAGCTGCCACCTGCCAGCTTCGCCCGGTCTGCCAGGGCCGCGCTGATTGACTAATCCCCGCTGCGCCGCTGACGAGTCTGTTTAGTAGTAGACAAGGCATGCCGCCAATAGGTGGACGATCTGTTTGTGCTTATGTATATATATTGTTTGCCTTATGTACATATGTAGATGATTATTGTCGCGACCCCCATCGATGGATGACTGTCGTCTAGTGCTGAGTGTTCTTCCCCCTGCCCGCATGATTGTTACCCATTATACTCGGATCTAAGCCGTAATCGCCACGCCATATGTGGAAGGCTTTTGGTGTCAATACATACATACATACATACACGCTGGCCTTTAACCCTCGCCTGTATTGGTGTATGTAGTGTCGTATGAACTGACGCTGGGCCGACGCGGCCGGCAGCCGGCGGCCGGCGTCGAGCCGGCCGCGTGGGGAGGCCGGCGGCCGACCTGCCCCGCGGCGGTCACGTGGGCAAGGTGACGCCGGCTGGCCGTGGCCCGGCCGGGGGAGAGCTGGTGGAGCGCCGGTCAGCGACGGACGCTCTTGCGTGGCTGATCTGTAACTGCATTTATCGTTAGCTAAGTCATTGTTCTGTATTATGTGAGCAATATATAGCAAGTGGCGACGAGTCAAGAACGCCGCAGTTGAAGATGTTCCAACCGTTATCACTGCCGGAGTACCTGGCCCGGCCGGGACAGCGTCCCGGGAGCTGGAAGTCGTGGTATGAAGACTTCCTGGTGTTCGCCGAGGCCAACGGCTGGTCTGAGTGGTCCGACAGCCGGAGGACAGCGCTCCTGATGGCGGCCGTCGGCGCCGAAGCTCGCCGTCTGTACCGGGCCGCAGCTTCCGATGACAGGCAAGCCTTCAAATCTGAAGTAAGTGAGGAGGGGGGACCATCTGTGGACCCTGTGATGTCATCATTTGACAAGGCGGTGGCAGTTCTCAATCATCTGTTCCAGTCTGACACTGATATTCGGTCTGCCCGCTTACGGTTCCGTAACATTGCCCAGGGACCGGAGGAGTCTAATGTCATATATTTGGCGAATCTTCGTGGAGCTGTTGAAGCTTGCAATTTTGGTGATCTCTCCGATGAGATGCTCCGCGACAGATTTATTGAAGGGTGTCGCTCGGACCAGCTCCGTGATAAACTCATCATGACTGATGCTCTGTCTCTGTCCCAGTTGGCTGAGATAGCTGAGGCGCATGACCGGGGGCTGCAACGCAAGTCGCTTCTGCACATGGCGGCTGGCACGTCTGCAGTACCCTCTGCGACAGTGGAAGTGGCCTTCACCGGCCGCAGGAGCGAAGCTAGCAGCAGCGGTGCGCCGCGTAAGCAGAAGTCGAAGCAGCGGCCGCCCAAGAAAGGTACGTGTCGTGCCTGTGGGATGAAGGGCATTGGGCAAAAGACAGTGAGTGTGCCGCCCGAAATCAGAAATGTTTCAAGTGTCATGCTGTTGGTCACTTCAGTAAATGTTGCCCCAGTCCTGGCAAGTCGGTTGCTGCAGTTTATGCCGTACAGATTTTGTCGGTGACCCCTGAAGATGTTCAGCATGTCGAGCGCCAACCGTCTCCGTATTATGATGCCGTCATTGATTGTCAGCGTGTACCGTTACTCGTGGATACTGGCTCGGCAGTCAGCATCCTTCCGGTGACCCTGTACAAGCAGCGCTTTGGACACATACCTCTTCGTCCTGCAGGTCGCCTGACTCAGTGGAACGGCAGCGACATCCGAGTGTATGGCAAGATGACTGTTGACGTCACGAGTGGCAGCCAGAGGTCTGTGTCCGCAGACTTCTACGTGGCGGACGGTCGTGTGCCGATCATGGGTCGAGATCTCCAGAGGCTACTGTCAGTCACTGTGAGCTGTGGCAGCACGATCAGTCGAGGTGAGGACCAGGTTCTCTTCAGCGACCAGGTTCTCCCTGCGATCAAAGGCTTCGTTCACAGGGTACGTCTGATGCCAGGAGCTGTTCCTGTTTCGACACGCCTGAGGACGCTACCCTATGCAGTGCGGCAGGAGGTCGGCGATCACCTGCTGCAACTGGAGTCTCAGGAAGTCATTGAACGTGTTCCTTGCGGGTCTTCACCCTGGTTGTCCCCCATCGTTGCTGTGAAGAAACGTGGAGGTCAGGGACTCAGGGTCTGCCTGGATTTGACAGAGATCAACAAAGCGATCATCGCGAACGGTCATCCTCTTCCAGACATGCAAGAGATTCTGGATCGTCTCCGGGGCGCTCAGTTCTTCTCCAAGCTGGATATGAAGTCAGCATATCACCAGCTGGAACTGCACGAGACTTCACGTGACCTCACCGCTTTTGTGCACGAGGGCCAGACTTGGCGCTACAAGCGGTGCTGCTTCGGCCTCCGAAGTCTGCCTCAGTGCTTTCAGAGGTTGATGGAGTCCATCCTGAGCGGCATCCCGGGGGTGCAGGTATACCTGGATGATGTCCTGGTCGTCGCGACAACGCGTGAGGAGCACGACAAGAGGCTCAACGAAGTCCTGAAGCGGTCGCGGGACTACAACATCACGCTGAATGAGAACAAGTGCCAGTTCGGCGTGACGTCACTCGAGTTCCTCGGGTTCATCGTTTCGGAGCTCGGCATTGAAATGTCGCCGGATCGCGTCCAAGGACTGCGCGACATGGATCGTCCGAAGACGCAGAAGCAGCTGCAGTCAGCTCTGGGCACCCTCTCATTCTACAGAAAATTCGTGCCCAACTTCAGCTCCAGAGTGGAATCTCTGCGGCGACAGCTGAGGAAGGGCGCTCCGGCCTTCAGTTGGACACAGGAGATGTCAGCTGCGCTAGAGGATGTTAAGTCCGCCATCTTGAGCTCCTCGGCTCTGGCGCCGTTCGATCCCAACCTGCCGACTTACGTCTCCACTGATGCGAGTGACGACGGTCTGGGGACGGTGCTTTCCCAACTTCATCCGGAGGGAGAGAGGGTTGTCGCGTTCGCCTCCTGCACGCTTAGCTCAGCGCAGCGGAAGTACAGCGTGACTGAGAGAGAGGGCCTGGCGTGTGTCTGGGCGTGCCAGAAATGGCGCCGGTACCTATGGGGTAAGGAGTTTGTCCTCCGTACTGACCATGCCTCTCTCAAGTCTCTGTTGGCAGCCAAGGGGATTGGTCGGGCCAGCATGCGGCTGTCCGGTGGGCAGTAAAGCTGATGTCCTACAGCTTCCAGGTTCAGCACGTCCAAGGGAAGGTGAACCAGGCAGATGGTCTCTCGCGTCTGCCTGGAAGTCAGGTGGAGGCTGAAGATGAAGAAATCCTGGTCGCTGCAGTGGAACAGCTTCCGCCGGCGGTGAGCTGTGACGACATCCGTGCGGCCGGTGAGGCAGACTGCGAGATTCAGGCTCTCATCGACCAACTTCCGCGACGCTGGCCTCGCAGCATCAAGGAAGTATCTGACATCCTGAAACCCTTCTTCAGGTACAGGAATGAACTGAGCACTGAGGATGGTCTGGTGCTTAGAGGTGATCGTATTATTGTTCCCTCTTCCCTCAGAGCTAATGTCACAACGTCTGCTCACAGCAGCCATCCTGGCATCGTGCGCACCAAACAGCGGCTACGTGCCATCTTCTGGTGGCCAGGGATGGACCGCCAGGTGGAAGAAGCCGTCAAGGACTGTCTGACCTGCTCAGCTGTCGACAAGACTACGAAGACGTGCCGCCCGCCACTCATCCCAGTTCCACTACCTCCCGCGCCGTGGGAAAAGGTAGGAATTGATTTTATTGGGCCTATGTCAGGTCCCGTGAGTCAAAGATACGGTATTGTGCTCACCGAATACTATTCGAAGTGGCCGGAGGTCGCTTTTGTTGGCGAGCCTAGCACCGACGCTGTGATAGATTTTCTCACATCCGTGGCATCCAGAGAGGGATGGCCCAAAGAACTTGTCAGTGACAATGGTACTCACTCCACCTCTCGAGCCTTCGCTTCGTTTCTTCGTGACCGCGGAGTTAAACACATCAAAGTATCACCGTACCATCCTGCAGGAGCAGGAGCGGTTGAACGATTTAACCGCAGTTTGAAGGCGTCTTTGCAGATAGCCGCCCAGCAAGGAGCAGATCGGCGGCGCACACCCAGCGGTTCCTGATGGTGTACCGCGCGACGCCTCACGCCACGACTGGGCGCAGCCCGTCAGAGCTCCTGCATGGCCGACAGCTGCGCACCGAACTTGAGAACGCGGTGTCTCGCAGCAGTGGCTCTGCACTCCACGCGGACGACAGCGAGGTTCGCGAACGAGTCTGCCAGAAGCAGAAGAAGATGAAGGAGCGTCACGACAGGCGTAGTCGTAAGCCAAACATCAAGGTAGGAGACACCGTTCGATATCGCCTGATGCCCAAGCCCCGTAAAGGTCAACCGCAGTTTTCCGAACTGTGTTTGGTGACGGCGCAGCGTGGACCGGTCTCGTTTGAGTTGGAGGGTGGGTTACGTGTTCATGCTGAACGCTTATCTCCATGCCGCGCTGCTGTCCGCAGGTCGACGATCCCGGCGCCGGCTGAACCTGTTGAGCCGTCGGTTCCGGGGCCGGTGCCCTCGTCGCCGCTGCCGCGTGCGCCGTCGGCGGGCTCGCCATCCGGTCCTCCGCTGTCGCCTTCGGCGCCCTCTGGATCGGCGTCGTCAGTGCCGCGGGCCGGTGCTGGAGCCGGCGCCGCTCCTCCGCCGGTGGTGGGGTGGCGCGGCGGCGACGGCGGCGACGCGTCGGCCGTTCCGGTCGCTGGAGACGAGGCCGGTGGCTGTGTGAACTATCGCACGCGCAGTGGTCGTGAAGTGCGGTGTCCTGTTCGTTTGGGAGGAGGAGAAATGTAAAGTTGTATGAACTGACGCTGGGCCGACGCGGCCGGCGTCGAGCCGGCCGCGTGGGGAGGCCGGCGGCCGACCTGCCCCGCGGCGGTCACGTGGGCAAGGTGACGCCGGCTGGCCGTGGCCCGGCCGGGGGAGAGCTGGTGGAGCGCCGGTCAGCGACGGACGCTCTTGCGTGGCTGATCTGTAACTGCATTTATCGTTAGTTAAGTCATTGTTCTGTATTATGTGAGCAATATATAGCAGTGTATTGTCAGCCGCGATCTAAAGCTTCGCGGAAAAACTAGCGTGTTGCCCGTGGCAAGAGGAAGCCGATGATACCCATTCTATGGTCCTAGGTCATCGGTTGACCTTCCAGGTCAGGTCAATGATCCAAAAGTCTGGAAAATCGGTACCTGTTAGAACGTTGTAAGGGGTGGCTGCTATGGGTTTTTTTCGGGGTGCTGATCACGAATATCATGTTAGTTATTGATCATAGATGATGTCTTCATGCATTTAGGCCAGGTCGGGTCAGGTCAGGTCAGGTCAACCAGTAAGAGTTTTTCCGGGTATTCGTAGTAGGTGGCAACCGCCTCTGACAGCTTCGTATCATGTTACGAAGGCACCAAAACTATTTCGTAAATGTTCAAATGGTTGCTAAATTCGAATTCAGCTCCAAAAACTAGCCTGAAAACTGTTAAGACTCGAAAAAGTGAACCGAGGTCATCAAAGGTCAATGACCTGACCTGGGTGACCTTGACACCCACCCTAATGCATGGGAGCAACATCATATCCCATGTTTGAACGCTTGAAACCACGAAAAGACTGCAAACGCGCGGCTAATGCGAGCCGACATACGCCGAATCGCGATTCCGGCCAAACATGGTCTCGAAAAGTAGGTCACACTCACAGGTCAAAGGTCATTAGAGTCAGGGTCATGAAATTTCCAGGGTAGGTGTAAAATTGATAAACGCGAGGGTACTGAAAGTTTTGTCGCGATTGGCCGCTTTTTACGCGAGTTATTTGCGAAAAACCGAGGGGGGTTCCGTTCGACCCCCTTCCTATATGGGCGAGGGTTAAGGGCCACTCCTACCTCAGGGGGCCCAAACATGCATAAGGTCTGAAGAGTGGCTGCCGAGGCCCTCGAGGTGGCCTGTAATGGCCCGACGCCAGCCTATGAAGGCCCGCGCTGGCTTCTGAGGGCCCAGCACCAGCCTCTGAAGTCTGAAGTCAGATGGCCCCACGCTGGCCTCAGAGGGTTCACGCTGGTCACAGAGGGTCCCACACTGGCCTAAAAAAGCTCCACATTGTCCTCGGAGGGCCTCAAACTGGTCTCCGTGGCCAATGGGCCTTAAGCTGACCTAAGAAGGCCCAATGTCGCTGGGCTTAAAAGACCCCTCGCTGGACATAGACGGCCACACGCTGGACATAGGGTCCCACACTGGTCTTAGAAGGCCTCAAACTGACCTTAGAAGCCCCACAATGGCCTTAGAAGGCCCCACAATGACCTTAGAGGGCCCCACGCTGGCCTTAAGACGGCTGAGCGCTGTCTCCTTGGGGCTCTGAGCCAGCGTCAAAGGGTCCCACGCTCAAGTCTAAGCTTCTTTATGGCCGCCAAACTGCCAAAGCGACCTCTGAGGGTTCCACGCTAGCGGCCTAGCCTCTGGGGGCTGGGCCTTGGCTTCTGAGGGCCCTACACTGGCCTATGAGGGCCATGAAATGGCATTTTAAGATAGTTTGACGCAGTTAGACTTTATTTATGCTTGGGCCAGTACTTCGGATGAGGCCCTGAAGGTCGTTTCTCTTGAGACACTCAAGCAGGCACGTACCCAGGATTTCGCCCAGGAGGGGCCCACCTGCTCTCGAAGGGGCCCACCCGGGGCCACTGTCACCCGGGGCCACTGTCGACCCTTGCCGGGGTCACCCGGGGCCACTGTCAACCCAGGCAA